TTTACTTTAAACCTTAAGTGGTTCCAATGTCTTCTCTATTTGCTAACACATTTTGACTGTGTGTGTATTTTTTCTCATTAGGGGAATGTTTCCCAAACTTTGCCTATTTTTAGGCATACTGACACTTACTTTAGACACAGATGTCTTAGGCCCCAGCCAAGACCTACTGACTCAGAATCTGCAAGATGTGATAATTTGGTTGTAATAAGCACCCCCAGGGGATTCTGACGAACAAGGGGTCACATTTTAAAATATGTTATAGAATCAAACCAGGTTGGAAAAAAAGGCTAGGATCTAAAATTAAAAAAAAAAAAATTCCAACTTCTTCGCCAACACCACGAAGCAGTTTGCAAAGCTCACACTAACACTTTTTTCTTTTTTTTTTTTACCACTCTTATTCTCGGACACTTGTACCACTTTACTGAAAACAAAGCGGAATACTACTACTGAACGCAGATCTAAAGCCTTGGGCCGGCCTTCCGGCCAGAAATTACCACTCTGCACAAGATCCAGCTCCCCTGTGTGGAGACCCGCCAAGGTTCAGCACTGCAGGAATGACTAACTTGAATCTGTTCCCTCACTCGGCATTTCTCTGGCTTCTAATACAGGCCGGGCCATGTAAGTCCATCTCTGCTATGTGTCAACCTATCCCTGCCAAGACCTAATATTTTCTGCTTGGAATTTTTTTGTTTGATACCATGTGTCTTCAGTAATGGAAGCATGCTGAGTCATGGAGTGTGTTTAAATTTCTGGTTAATAATATGGATTTTGAGAAATACTATGTGGGAATAAATGGCTACCATAAAACTCAGGGGGTTCTTCAGTGTCATGATTGGTGGGTGCCTGTCTTTCCCACTGGTCACGGGCACCTTCCATTAGGTTACAAGGGGAACCTCTGGTTTTCATATATGATACACACACACAAAGATACAAGGGCTCTCTAACTATCATACAGGAAACCATAAATATGCTTACAAGACTTATCTGGGCTTCTCTGTGACTGTTGCTTTAGTCAATCCAATATTTACTTGGTGCCATTATGTATCCAATATGGCGCCAGACACTATGCGAAAGAAATATCAGACACGGTCCAGACCGTAGAGGGGTTTAGACAAGTCCTGGATACTCAGAATTAACACACTTGAAATGAAGCTGAGTTGTGCGCTACTGGCCTTGAACAGAATGGGAAGCCCACTGTTATGGACTGAATTGTGTCCTCCCAAAATACTTGTTGGAATACTAACCTCGATACTTGTGGATGTAATCGTATTTGGGAACAGGGTTTTCTTTGTTATGTTAATGAGGCCATATCAGTGTAGGGGGTGTCCTAAACCTAACCACTTCTGAATTTTAACAAGACCAGAACAGACACAGAAGCAAGCACAATCCAGGGGGAGATAGATGCCCGGTAAAGACCACCAAGGAACTCAGGAACATCCGGAGACAAAGATCTTCCCCCAGAGCTGACAGAGAAAGAACTTTCCTCTAGAGCCAGCGCCCTGAATTTGGACTTCTAGCCTCATAACGGTGAGAAAATAAATTTCTGTTCTTTAAAGTCATTTACTTGTGGTATTTCTGTTACAGCAGCACTAGGTAACTAAGACACCCACGAATAGAAAGATAAGCATGAACAGAAGGGCTGGGAGCGGGTCATGTGAGCAGGCCGGAGGGCACCACAACCTCTGCTTAAATCAAGGACAGAAAAGAAGGCAACCCAGGGGGCCAAACACAGACCCAAAAGTGGGGATGAATGTGGGATGTAACAGAGACAAGCCGTCCCACCAGAGTAGAGGGCGGTGTGCTGGGAAAACACACAGGAGGTTGCCATTAGAGCTTTACACCCAGGATAAATTTGACTCAGGAGGAAACAGGGGCCCTTTGAAGGTTTTCAGAGTAAGAGTCCATAATTAAAACAACACTTAAGGCAATATTCCACATATCAGAAGGTTATCAAGAAGGCAGTGTAACAATGGTTAAGAAACCAGGGCTTTCGGTGGAATGACAGACCAAAGCTCTATCATGTACAAGCTCTGTAAGGATGGGCAAGCTATTTAACCTATGACGGAATCTGTTTCTTCATCTGTACAGTGGGGATACTTCTGCTTGTCGCATTCTATTGTTATAAGAATTAAATGAGAGAATGTGTACAAGCTTCCCAAAGTGCCTGGTCCTTAGTAAGCACTGACACAAGCAATGAAACCTAGTGGCAGCAACAGTAACAAAAATTACAATGGCACAGAATATACACAAAAGCCAAGGGGACTTGAAGCACTTACTGATGAAGATCAAAGACTATAGCCTTCAGTATGGATTATTCTTCAACATAAAGAAAACAAAAATCTTCACAAATGGACCAACAAGCAGCATTGTGATAAACAGAAAATACTGAAGTTGTCAAGGATTTCATTTTACTTGGGTCTACAATCAACACCCATGGAAGCAGCAGTCAAGAAATCAAACCTTCCCTTCTTTTGCTGCAGCAAATCCACTGCAAAAGATCTCTTTAAAGTGTTAAAAAGCAAAGATGTCACTTTGAGGACTAAGGTGCACCTGACTCAAGCCAGAGTGTTTCTGATCACCTCCTATGCATATATGAGCTAGACAAAGAATAAAAAGACAGAAGAAGAATTGATGCCTTTGAATTATGGTGTTGATGAAGACAGTGAATATACCACAGACTGCCAGAAGAACGAACAAATCTGTCTTGGAAGAAGTACAACCAGAATGTTCCTTAGAAGCAAGGATGACAAGACTTTGTCTCACATACTTTAGGCATGTTATCAGTAGGGATCAGTCCCTGAAGAAAGACATCATGGACCAGACTTAATGGTCTGACTGAGACTGGAGGAACCCTGGAAAGCATGGCCCCTGGATTCTCTATCAGCCCAGAAATAAAACAACTTCCGAGGCCAACTCTTCAGACAGGGATTGGACTGGACTGTGAGACATAAAGTGATACTCATGAGGCGTGTGCCTCTTAGCTCAAGTAGATACAAGAGACTAAACTGGCAGCTTCTGTCCAAAGGTGAGATGGGAAGGCAGAGAGGGTTAGGAGCTGGTTGAATGGACATGGGGGATCAGGGGTGGAAAGGGAGAGTGTGCTGTCACAGTATGGGGAGAGCAATTGGAGTCACATAACAATGTATGTATAAATTTTTGTATGGGGGGAAAAAAAAAAGAAGGACATCATGCGTGGTAAAGTAGAAGGTCAGCAAAAGAGAGGGAGACCCTCAACGAGATGGACTGACACAGTGGCTCCAACAGTGGGCTCAAACAGCAACAACTGTGAGGACGGCGCAGGACCGGGCAGGGTTTCCTTCTGTTGTACACAGCGTCGCTATGAGTCGGAACCGACTCAGTAGCACCTACCAACAACAACATCTGGAAAAGTGACAGCACACACTTAGAATGATGCTGTAGTCAAAGTATACGCCTAAGTGCTTTTTTCAAGACACAATGACTATATAAAAGAAATTTTATAGAACTGCATCAATCACCTCTTAACAATGTTGCTTGCAGCCCTCATCAGAAAGAATGCCAGACTCCAGGGACCAGCACTGACCCAGTATGACTGATCTGTTTTAAGGATAACTTTTTTTATAATACAGAAACTTCATAATAAAAACGTTAGCTTTTATGCAAAGCCCAAAAAAACAAAAAGAAAAATCACATCCAGTGTCACCTAACTTTGCTACCACTGCCACCAGCACCAGTAACTATCAGGTCAATTTGGACTCGTGGCGACCCTATGTGCATCAGAGTAAAACTGTGTTCCATAGGGTTTTCAGTGACTGCTTTTTCAGAAATAGATCGCCAGGTCTTTCTTCCGAGGCACTTCTGGGCGGACTCAAGCCTCCAACCTTTCAGTTAGCAGCTGAGCACATTAACCATCTGCACCACCCAGGGACTGCTCTATGTCCATTAGAGATCTATGATGGGGTATCCATCACTACTGAGAACCAGGAACAAAACAAACTAGACTTTTTTTTAAAGCCAAGATATTCAAGGTCATGCCCAGGCTCCCTCATGGAACCAATTTACCTTAATTTTAGACCGATTCAATCACACAAATGCTAGAGTGCCTACTGCATGGTAGGGTCTCATGCAAATTAGTTGCCCCCAATAATTCAGGGAAAGCTAATTAGGAGCCCTGGTGGCAAACTGTTTAAGTGCTCAGCTGCTAACCGCTAACCAAAACGTCGGTGGTTCGAACCCACCCAGCAGCTCTTCAGGAGAAAAGACGTGACAATCTGCTCCGGTAAAGATTACAGCCTAGAAAACACTATAGGGCAGTTCTACTGTGTCATATAGGGATGTGAGTCAGAATCGACTTGACGGCACCTAACAACAACATTTAGGACAAGGGGATAGTATGTATAGTGGAATCGACAACTGAGAAAGCAAGAGGCCTGCTAGAGATAGGCACAGAAAGTGAAAGGCAGACAGGGAAGAAGAGACAGCAATCTAGAAGGTAGACACAGGAATCAACAAACAAAGCATCTACAGAGGAGAGAAACCATTTTTAAACAGGAGTAACTCGATGATGCTGAGGCCGTCCTTCCTGCCCGCAGAGCAAGGACCATCCAGCAAGCGACCTTTCCTTCCCAGCCCAGAAAGGAATCCTGCTCAATCCCGAACCGTACAGTCACTACCACTTCATTCCAATCAGAAGCAGCGAAATCTGTTTGCATTCTCTGGGTTTAGACACTTCAGTCTCACCTGTGGCTACCTGTCCCTCAAGAGCCCTGTGTCGCCGCTGTTTATACTGCTGGCCACAAACGATCAGCAAATCTCACATTACTTCTAGCATGCTCTACCTAAGAAGACGGGGAAGTATACAGAATATTTTGGAATGTTTAAAAGTTTTGGTGTGAAAGAATTCAATCTCACTTAGCTGGAACGTGCCAGAAACCTGAATTGTGTGGTGACGCTAAATAAAATGAGGCATTATTTTACTTAAAATCCACCTGAAACTTTACAAAGTTGCCTGTTCACCAGACCTTGATCCTTCGGATGCTGACAATTGCCTCGGACACCTTCTCGATTGCCGCCGGGAAGAAGAGGGTAACAGTCAACCGCACTGCCCCATAGAGCGTCACGGCCACAAACACACGGCTGGCTGTGATCACGTTGCCGAGGAGCACGTAGGTAGTGAAAGTCGCAAACACGATTATTTTGCTCGCCACAAAAAACGATGCCAAATTCATTCCTCTAAGGTAAGAACTTCTAAGAATCTTGGAGATTTCCTTCCTGGAAAAGACAGTAGAATATACGTTTTTAAGTAAGCATTGGCATCAAAGCCATGAATTCAAGGGCCTTTACATGTGGCCCCTTTCTAGACAATGAATATAGATTAAAATAACCATCTCTTACATCACAGAAACAATCCACAACACACCCAATGCTTCAACACAAGGACCACGCAGACCACTCAATGCCATTTCATTCACTGGACTAAACAGATGTTTAATGTCGAAGTTTCATAGTTTGGGTCCATCAGACTGGGTGTGAACATTTATTCAGCAAGCATTCACAAACATACATCCTGTGCCAAGCACCTCACTGATGACAGAGAGATAAGTAAGAAACAGCTGAGCACGCTAGGAGGTCATGAACTTACGCAAGGAGACAGAAAACAACCCAAAACTGTGAGACACCGAGACACGAGACAGGCTACACAGGGTCCCATGAGGGCAGAGAGCAGGCCCGCGACTCAGTGAGGGGGGAGTCGGAGGTCACACGCGAGTGGAACCCGGAAGGATGAGCAGGAGTGAGTCAGGCTTGGTGGGGGCTACAGGAGAATGAAAAGAAGGGGTATCTGAAGCACAGGTGGGCACACACACAAAGGTGCAAAGACGTGCAAAGGTGTTACCAGAGAATTACAAGATGAAACCATGTGTTAGAGGGCAAAAATCAATCAAATATTTAAACCAAAACCTAAAAAAAATTCTAACAAAAACGAATAGTATTTCCATGCTCTGTTTGGGATGAACAATACTTTAATTAAATAGTTTGGCTCAACACAGGAATACCCAATCTTTAATCTTCCTCTTTGTGCTAAATGAACGTGTTGTTGTTGTTGTTAGGTGCCTTCGAGTACATTTCCCACTCGCAGCAACCCCATGTGACAGAGAAGAACTGCTCCACAGGGTTTTCTTGGTTGTTATCATTCAGGAGCAGACTGCCAGGTCTTTCTCCTGCAGAGAAGCTAGGTGGGTTCAATCCACTAACCTTTCGGTTAGCAGCCGAATGCTTAACCATTGGGCTACCAGGGCTCCTTTAAACGAACGTAAATTATAATTTTATTTTAAATGACATCTCCTCAAATTCTAACATCTTACAATTGTTGCTTGTTTGGAATATAAGTTATTAACAAACATTTCAAATTTCATTTTTTGTGTTAGGAAAAAGTGAATATACTCTGTTTTAAGAAAATGGGAAATGGAAGACCAGTTAGAAATGATGTATTATGCTATTCTACTTAACCCGACTGCTACCTACAAGTGGTGGGTGGGATGGAGAGTATTTAAATTCACAACAATATGAAAACATAATAGAACTTCTAACACTGCACCTACTCCTCACTTATCGACTATCTTGTCATCCAGCATTAGCATTCACGACAACAGTAAAAAATCTACTATCCAACTATTTTGTGCATTAATGACACACATCTGGCAGTAATGAACGCCAAGGTGCTAGGTGAGAGTAACGCTGGCTGTGATGGTTACGGTTATGTATCAACTTGGCTGGGCCATGATTCTCAGTGGTTTGGCAGTTATGGAATGATTGTAGTCATTCTCCATTTTGTGATCTGATATGGTCATCCTCCATTTTTGCATAATACCAATTTCTGCATAACGACCTCGTCTTTGGAACCTAACCATATAGGTAAGTGAGGAGTGAGTGTATTCAATAAAAACAGAAAAGAGAAAAGTATGAAGATATGGTATGATATACAAAAACTTACCTTCTCAAACTGGTAATGAGGTCTGCAAATGACTTTTCCCAAGCATACATTTTTATTATTCTTATGCCGGTTATAACTTCATTCATGGTCCTGATCCTGACATCCGTGAAAGCTGCAGTCTTGCTCCTAAGGGCAACAGACGTGAGAGATGAGCCGTAGGGACCCAGCCTGACTGCCCTTATCAGAGCAGGCACAGGCCGAGACCATGGATCAAATGATTCCCTAAAGCTCCTTCACTCAGACAATGCAGGCAGATCCTACTCAAAATACAAATGGAAAAAGACTTCAATTAGGAAGTCAACAATTTATCCCAATTCAACAAATATTTTGGAGAACTTGCAATATCTGCTAAGAAAGATAAGAAAATGAGTAAGACACAATCCGTCCCCTCAAGGAGCTCACAGTTGGGTGGGGAAGCAGAAAGGTACCCAAATTTAACAATAACACAGCGTAGCTGTAATGTAATAAAATGGGAATACTGTGCTGGGGTGCAGAATGGGAGAGGCTGTTAACTGGGAAACGGGAAAGTGAGAAAAGCTTCAGAGTACAGGCAGCATTTGAACCGGGCCTTGAAGTAACATTTTTCCAAATGGCAAAGAGGGGAAAGGAAATTCCAACTAGAAAAAAATGCCATGAGCAAAGGCACAAAAGAATGAATTCAATGCACTCCAAACAACACAACGTGGCTGTCCACCTGAAACCCTTGACAAGGACCCACTTGCAGCCCTCTGAGATCTGCTTCACTTCCCCAGTCATCATTAGGCTCCTCATCAACAGCCACTCTTCCAGCCACACTCTGCTAAGGACTGTGGGTCTTCATAAAGACATAATTAAGATTGACTTTGCCCTTACACAGTTTATAAAAACCACCCTCCACCCTCCCCCCCACACACATAAAAATAGCTGTAACACAAACGTAACAAACAATATAAACAGTTAGAGTTGGCCTATAAAATATTTCAATTTACTATTATTTAATGGAGCCCTGGTGGTGTAGTGGTTAAGAGCTCAGCTGCTAACCTAAAGGTTGGCAGTTCAAATCCACCAGTCGCTCCTTGAAAACCCTATGGGGCGGTTCCACTCTGTCCTACAGGGTCGCTATGAGTCCGAATCGAGTCGACAGCAACAGTTTTGGGTTTTTATTATTTACTAGACACCACATTCTTATGCAAATAACACATGCCTTCTATGTTTGTTTGCCAACAGAGCCCTCCTCCCAGGAGGTGGTGCTTACAAAAATACCTCGCAGGGGTGTGGGGGGAGGACATGGTTGGCAAACAAACGTAGAAGGCGAGCATTATTTACATAAAAATATAGTAATGTTTTTATAACTTCTACATATGTAAATTCTGCTTAACTGACCAGTTGCTGTCGAGTGGATTCCGATTCACAGTGGCCCCATGTGTGTCAGAGTAGAGCTGTGCTCCACAGGGTTTTCGATTGCTGATTCTTCAGAAGTAGATTGACAGGCATCTCTTCTGAGGTGCTTCTGGGTGGACCTGAACATCCAACCTTCTGGTTAGCAGCTGAGTGCATTAACTGTTTGAAACACCCAGGGACTCTAAATTCTGCTTAAGGACAGTACTTATGGAGGCTGCCGGGCCCGGAAAGCTTGCTGGGAAGTGTCCGTGAATGTCTTCACGTTCCCCACTTCAAGATTAGCCTTCAGCCTTTGGCTGGAGGCCCCACTGGCTAAGCCTGCAGAGACTCCCACATAATCAAAGAAGAAATAATAAAAGGCAGGCATTTAGTCTGCTTTTGAACAAAAGCATGGGCAGACGGTAGGTGTTACCAAATATATATTACGTATTTTATAAATCAGTATTCGCCTTACCGCAGTGACGAGAACAACTTCCCGATGCAGCTTTGCAAAGGCAGAAGGATAATTACAACTGCCATTCCCGCGAGGCATGATATTCCTATCTCCATCCAGAGGAGGACAGTCACTGCAATAGCCTGCAGTGGTCCCGCCCATAGAAAGTGTAAAAATATCGTTACCTTAAAAGAAAAAGACAAAGAGTCTTTAGGACTGTATAAAAGCAAAACCATTAAGAACCCAGTATGGAAACAATCGGGTCTATGTGAACAAACAAAAATCTAAACAGAAATGATCATAGTGGGCTTTAAACCTGGTAAAGCAAAAAAAAAAAAAAAAAAAAAAAAACCAGGTATCTACTGCAGGTGAAGCCATTCAGATGTAACGAGGGGCAGGCTTCAGGTCACTACGGGGAGAAAGCCGGCCAGCAGTCTTGGAGGAAAGATTTTGAGTTTGTCTACTCCACGGATGAATTCAAGGTTTCCTAAAACTTTAAGCCTTTTGCCACAAAATTCAGCCCGCACCTTCCCTGGGGACTCCCAGCACCCCAGCAAAGCTTGTATTATGGCGCCTACCACATTCTCCAGAGAAGAAACCAAGTAGGGACCTTAGTTCATGCTGGATGAATGAATAATTGAATGAGAAGTAGTCCTAGCGCAATAAGGAGGTCTGACCAGTAGCTAAAATAATGGGATACTTCCATGAGGTAAATGTAAGAAAAAGTGGTGATGACATAGAGCAGAGTAAGGTTACTTCTGGCTAGGACCCACTCATCCAGCATTATGTATCGATGGCTTCCTTCTGTATGAGGCACGGTACTAGGCACAGAGAAAGCAACCATCAGATATTGAAAACCCTACGGAGCACAGTTCTACTCGGACACACCAGTCAGAATCAACTCAGTGGCAACTGGTTTAGGTACTACCTACCAGATGTTCAAATCTAGAGAAGAAGAGACAATTTAGCAGGCAAAACCCAAGCAATGTGCTAAGACTTAAGAAAGGACGCTCAAGGAGAACTACTAGGTACATTTAACTAAGTTGGGCAAAGATACCACTCACTGTCTGCCTATTTGTTACCGGCTTCTTATTGAACTATGTTGTAGGAAGTATCAGAACAATTAAAAGTCTAATCTACAGGACAACACGTATCATTACTTCCAAGTCATCCACACAAAAACTGAGATGTGGATACAAAAAAAAATATCATTGTCTGATGTCCTCAAACGAATCCTGGCCTACACCAAAAACTGGCACCTGATTTTCCAGAAAGTTAAAATAAAAAAGAAAGGCATCAAGTGAAAAAGGATCCCTCCGCTGCAGCTTACCTGATCAAACTTGTTCACATCGTTGGACAGCAGATTGACTATCTGGCCAGTGGTAGTCTTCCCCAAGGCTGCGTTACTGAGATGGAGCGCCTGAAATAAAAGTGAGAGACCAAACTCTACTCCCACAGTGATACTAAGTCACTCTTAGAAAACAGCAAAACGGAGCACATTCTCATGCGGTCTTATGAAGCCCCTGTGGGGTGCAGACAATTGAAAGGTTGGAGGTTGGAGGTTCAAATCCACCCAGAAGCACCTTGGAAGAAAGGCCTGGTGATATACTTCCAAAATATCAGCTACTGAAAACCCTACCGAGCACAGTTCTACATTTGGGGTTCCCATGAGTGGGAACTGACTCAATGGCAAGTGGTTTGGGTTGGTGTTTTTTTTTTTTGTTTGTTTGTTTTGTGTGATTTCAAGATGACCAGGATGACTTCCGACCGCAGGGCTCTAGAGATGAGCAGGTAGCTCTGAGCTCCTTCAAACGGCAGCAGCCCTGGTCTACGAGGTCAGCAAAGGGAGGAGAAAGAGGGAGGAGCAAAATCCTGATCTCATACTTTTGCTGAATGTGGGCACGTTGAAAGCACTAAACAATGGAAGTTTATCCTTAAGAGCCAACCAAAGTAGTTATGAACCAAATTAGATGAGAATGCAGAGGGTGCCTGAGGAAAACAACGAGGAGACATGGTTGGTAAATCGGGACATCAGTCATTAATTCGCTGTGCAACATCATCCGTGTCACAGACACACACTGGGTCCTGGGTTCCTCATTCTGTGAACAGAAGTAACACTTCACCCTGCCTAGACCATGGGTGCCCGTCAGAGTCCAACGACAATGAGTATTATATGTCGAGGACACTAAGGGCTCCAGGAGAGAGGAAGGCTGACTAACACTTCCTGCTTTCCTGTCCTTACAGACAAGGACAAGAGATGTGCTCAAACACCTGTGGTTCAAGTACGAATGGGACAGTAAGCAGAGCAGCAAGGAGCAGTGAGGAAAGTTTCGCTTCGACCACCCTGTGGGTGGGATGGAACTTGGACGATGAGGAAGGGGTAACTACATGGAGACAAGAAAAGGGCACCGCAGGTGAAAGGAGCAGCCTGTGTGTAAGTACAGGGAAAGAAAACGAGGAGGCAGTTTACACGATACCCAAAATATGGTTAGAAAGGTGGACTGGGAGGCAGCTAAGGAATTCAGAAGGCAACATGAGACAGTGAATTTTTTAAGTTAGAGTGATGGCTAAGGAAAACAAATAAATAAATAAGCCGAAAATAACAAATGTTAGCGAGGATGTGGGGAAGTTGGAACCTTTATCCACTGCTAGCAGGAATGCAAAATGGTACAGCCGTTGTGGAAAACAGTGTGGTAGATCCTCAAAACAATAAAAATAGCACTACCATATACCTGCTGCCATCAAGTTAATTCCAACTCCTGGTAACCCTATGGGACAGAGTAGAACTGCCCCATAGGGTTTCCAAGGCTGTAGATCTTTACAGAAGCAGACTGCCACATCTTTCTCCTGCGGAGCAGCTGGTGAGTTCAAACTGCTAACTTTTCAGTTAGCAGATGAGCACTTTAACCACAGTGCCACCAGGCCTCCTTAGGACCCACAATTCTGCTCCTAGGTATATGCCGAAAAGACTTGAAAGCAGAGACTTAAACAGATACTTGTACACCAATGTTCACTGAAGCACTATTCACGACAGCCAAAGGGTAGAAACAACCTACATGCCCATCAAGGGATGAATGGATACACAAAATGTGGTGCATACATTCAAAGGGACACTACAAATGGAGTCTTGATAAAAACAAACAAACAAAAAAACTCACTGCCGTCGAGTTGATTCCAACTCACAGTGACCCTATAGGACAGAGAAGAACTGCCCCATAGACTTTCCAAAGAGCGGCTGGTGGATTTGAACTGTCACTTTTTGGTTAGCGGCCGAGCTCTTAACTACTGCGCCACGAGGGCTCCAGAGTCTTGATATATGCTACAATATGAATGGAGCTTGAAAACATTATACTGAGTGAAATAAGTCAATAAAGGGCAAACACTGGATGACCTCACTTATATAAAAAGAAAAGAACAGACAAAAATACAGAGACCAAAGTATATTAGTGGTTACCAGGAGGGGAAGAAGGGGAGTTATTGCTTAGGAAGTACGACTTTAGGTTTACAGTGACGTAAAAATCACACTGATTAAGGGTAAGGTTGCACAGTCGATTTTGTAATTGTTATCAATAAGTTAAACACCTGTAAGAAGTTGAACTGGCAAAAGTTATATGAAATATATATTTATACCACATAAACCAGAGACTTCGTCAACTTGAGACCAGAAGAAATAGATGGTGCCCCGCTACTACCAAGGACCGTCCTGACAGGGAACACAACAGAGAGTCCCTAGCAGAGAAGGAGGAAAGTGAGGTGTACACCTCAAATTCTAGTAAAAAGACCAGACCTGGTGGTTTGTTTGAGACTGGAGGGACCCTGGAAAACATGGCCCCCAAACTCTCTGTTAGCCCAGAACTGAAACCATTCCCAAGGCCAACTCTTCAGACAAAGATTAGACTGGACTATTGGACATAAAATAATACTTGTGAAGAGTGTGCTGCTTAGCTCAAGTAGATACATGAGACAAAATGGGCAGCTCCTGTCCAGAGGCGAGATGGAAAGGCAGAGAGGGTCAGGAGCTGGCTGAATGGACACAGGAAATCTGGGGCAGAAAGGAGGAGTGTGCTGTCACAGTATAGGGAGAGCAACTAGGGTCACATAACAATGTATGTATAAATTTTTGTATGAGAGACTAACTTGAATCGTAAACTTTCACTTAAAGCACAATAAAAAAGAAAAGTGAAACAACCAGAAAACAAACAAAAAATATATATATTTATAATAATGACTCCAAAAATAAAAATAAAAAGAGTAGCTGCAGAGGCTGCTTATGTACAACCAAAAACCTCACGCAATTTGGTTCCTTAGCTTAAGGTTTACAGTCATGCTTTCATAGGACATCCCAGTTAATTGGCCTAATATCATCTTTAGTGTTTCTGTTCTACCTCTTAGTTCAATGCTTAGGTTATGGGTTCTTAAAAGCTTGCAAGCAGCCATCCAGCGTACAACAATCTCCATTTGCCTAGACCAACAGAAGAAAAGAAGAATCAGGAACAGGAGGAGGAAATGAAATGTGTGGATAAGTGCCTCCTTTGCCATGAGATCAGAAGAACTGAATGGTGCCTGGCTGCCATTACTGAACATGTTGATCAAAGAGTCTATAGAAGAATCCTGATCAAAAGGGGGGAAATGCAGAACAGAATTTCAAATTCTCATGGAATCCAGGTTTTCTGGAGCCATAGAGGCTAGACGAACCCCTGAAACCATTGCCTTGAGATAATCTTTAAACCTTAAACCAAAAATATCCCCTGAAGTTTTCTTAAAACCAAACAATAGTTTAGCTTAACTAGTAAAGAATGTCTGCCTTAAGTATTGTGCTCTTTTAAGATCTATCTACATGGGATCAAATTCACAACAGCAACTTCAAAGATCAGTTAGGAAATTTAGAGGGCAGTAAGTTTATATCAATGGGGGAGGAACAACTCATAAAAGTAGGGTGAGAATGGTTGCACAACTCGAAGAATGTAATCGGTGTCACTAAATTGTACATGCAGAAATTGTTGAATTGGTGTATGTTCTGCTGTATATATTCTCAACAAGAAAATAAATTGTTTTAAAATATGACGGTGAAATTAAGGAGGTAAATGTCATCACATTGTTGTTGCTGTTAGGGGCCACTGAGTCAGTTCCAACTCACAGCAACCCTATGTACAACAGAACAAACACTGTCCCTTCCTTCATCATCCTTGCAATCGTTGCTGTGTTTGAGCTACAGGGTCAATCCATCTCTCTGAGGGCCTTCCTCTTTTGTGCTGACCCTCTACTTTACCAAGCATGATGTGGCTAACAAACTCATGAAATGATGCTTGAGTTACTAGCCATTAGAGATGCAAATCAAAACTGCAACTGAGATACCAGCAAGAATGGCACTGATCCAAAAAACAGAAAACAATTGCTGTCAAGGAAGTACGCGACTGGAACTCTTATACACTGCTGGTGGGACTGTAAATTGGTATAACAGCTATGGAAACAGTATGCTGCTTCCTCAAAAAGCTAGAAATAGAAATACCACATGACTCAGCAATTCTACTCCTAGGTATATACCCTAAAGAAATAAGAGCTGTGACATGACTAGAGACATGCACACCCATGGTCATTGCAGCTTTATTCACAACAGCAAAATGATGGAAACAACCTAAGTGCCCATCAACAGATGAATGGATTAATAAACTGCGGTACCTACACACAATGGAATACTACACAATGATAAAGAATAACGATGAAATCTGTGAAACATCATACAATGTGGATGAATCTGGAGGATATTATGCTGAGTGAAATAAGTCAATGACAAAACAGCAAATGCAGTATGAAACCACTGCTATAAAGTAACAACAAAAGGTAAAACACAGGAAAAAAAGGAAAAACATTCTTTGATGGTTACCAAGGACGGGTGGGGGAGGGAGGGAAAAATACCAATTAGACAGAAGACACATAATATTCGTGAAGCCAAAGACAATACTTAATATGGGGGAAGTCAGCACAACATGACCAAGGCAAGAGAGGACACTGAGAGGAACACAAGAATAAAGGACAACTACAAGAACTACTATAGCTTAGACAACCCTGCAGCAACAGTATTAACAAGAATAATTTACAAATGGACAAATAGGTAGATACTCCCAGGGGTGTGCGAGGATAAAAGGGAATACACCTACCAGCAGATACAGGTTTGGTCATGGATATTTCCACAAACATGACTGTAAGTGAGGCTTATACAGAGCACACAAAGGATATAATCAGGGAAGCCTCTTAGACACAATCAAACACCTCCCAGGATGAACACAAAGGACGACAGACTTGGGGGACATGTATGTCAGCTGGCACAACACAGTACATAAAGATAATGTTCTGCATCCTACTTTTGTGAGTAGTGACTGGGGTCTTAAAAGCTTGCAAGCCATTATGTAAGATACAACA